GAACGCGAGTCGCGTTCACTCGACAACTCGCAAGGTCCTCCGCCGGAGGGTTACGGCTGGATAAAGGGAGCGGGTGCGCGTGAACCTGGGGGCGAGCCGTCTGAACGTGGCCCGGGGTCACAACAATGAAATAAAGAAGCGGATGGGAGTAGGGCGGAAGAGTTGATTGCGCAAAGTAACGAAGCAAATGCCTACTGCGAAATGTTGACTCCCTCGCCTGGTATGGAGGGGGTCGTGGGTTCGATCCCGACCCTGACACCTGCTGTATATTTGGAGTTTGCGTGTCTCTCTCTCTCTCCCCGTGGTCGCATGGATTTTTCTCCGGACCTTCCGGTTTTTCCCTCCACACTTAGAAACATGCATTTAGATTATTTGGCTGCAATACATTTCCACGTGATAAGCCACGAAGTTGAGCTATCATTTATGGTAGCCAGGCCGCTTCTGAAAAATGGCTATATAGCTAAGTGGGCCTTACCTTGTAAAATAAAATATTTTTTAAGTGAGTTAGAGACATCGTCTTGACTGCCATTAAGAAGAGCGAGTGAGCTGGCTTGGGCAGTAAACGCCGCTGGAAGGGACGGTGATTGGTGGTCGAGGCTTACGGAGGAGAAGCAGCGTCAGCGAGACGATAAGAGAACGCTATCCTGCATTTCAAGGACCTTGGTGAAGAAGAGGGAGGACGTTTCGTTCGGAGAGCCAAGCTGGCCGCAAGTGCACGACGTTGAGAGGATGTGTATGCGGCCACTGCTGCACACGTGAAATGCAGGGGACGAACGGTGCGAGGATCTCTGTGTGATGGGGGGGGGGGGGTGACAACACGAGGCGACATAATTCTCGGCGTACCAATCTCGTCTTGGTTTCACCCCGTGGGGAGACGCGTGGACCTCCGCGCGAGAGAGAGAGAGGCCACGTTGAGAACCGGCGAGCGTTTGGCCGTGAGTCGTGGAGCTGCCGTCGACGGCGATGAATCGATCTTCCAGGCCGTGTGCCGTGCGTGGTTGGGCGGGAGTGGTGTTGTGGCGTGGTGGCGCGCACGCTGTCCCAGCAGGCAGTCGGGGAGCCGTAGAGCAGCAGCAGACGCACCAAAGTGAACAACTTGAAACTTAATTTGTTTTCAAGCCGTTTTAAAACTTCCTTTCACGTCCAGCCAAGTACATCAAAATTATTTCTTGCGGTTGAGTTTAGAAACCTCCCAGTAAACGTGCCAACGTTGGGTGAACGTTGGCATGTGGTTGGAATCATTGGCCGAACGTTGGCCCGATGTTAACTGGGCCCGGACCGTTGCAGCATTAGCCCCAGGGGATGCCTTTCCTATTCATATATCAAAGTTGATAACGTGTATCCCATGTTCTCGAGAGAACGAGACGCTCCCGAATGTTAGACGCACCACAAACCTTGATCCCTGTATCATACAAATCTCGTCAGCAACAACAACAACAACGGATGTTCGCCACTAAGTGACGGTGACGTCATCACGGCGCTTGTGCCAGGCTAGATGCAGATTGAGGCCACGTGATGTGTCGAAGGCTCGCTCGCAGGAGATCACGGGGCAGACCCAGGTGTCACGGGTCGACTGACTGCGGTGGCTGGCAAATGCACCACCTGTGCTACCCACTGTGCCAACAAAGACAAATATCCCCCATTTCGCCTTTAACAGACTGCTGGGGCAAGTGCTGTTAGCGAGCACCTATGAAGGCCAGCACGGCACATAGGGGGGAGCATGGCCAGCACCACGCCCGTCCGCCTTTGTTTCCCTAGTAGCGATGTTTACTACACCGCACCAGGTACTCAATTGAGCCTGAGTCGATCTAGGGGCAGACCGGTTCAGGTATTCGTCACTGGTGTTGGTGGTCATGAGCGTAAATCGAACTCTGGTGGCCGGGATGGCAGCTCAGCGCTAGCCACGGCACGACCGCCAACACGCACAGTCTCGCACCCCGGCCCGAGTAGAAGATGCACCCTCAACCTTTGGTTTAAAATACTCGGTAAGGGCGAGTCGCGTGAAGCGCTGTTGTAATGCGGAGCACCCGGCATGGCAGAGTTACCAGCACACATTGTTGTGGTTGTTGACAATTGTCGGCGCGCTCCACCAGAGAGAACCACCGAGTCGTCGACGCTCCACCCCAGCAAGCAGTTCCTCGTCAAAGCCTCCGACTCATCTCCCGTTTATCGCCCTGAGCCAGCGGAGGAAATTCCACATTGCTTATGCCGGGGGCCCACTTTATTTCTACAGGAAGTGGTACTTATTCTTATCAACCGCGTGGGGATGATGAGGTTGAGTCAATCCTCCCCAACCGGGATTTGAACTCTGAACCTTCCGATTGCGAGCTGCTCCCGCCACCGCTGAGCCATGAGTGATGCGGAGTGCGTGCCTGCGTTAGCAAGAGGGTGGGCGCCTGCGGCCGTGGGTGTCCTATGTGCTTGTGTTTGCAGGCAGCCTGGAGGGGTGCCAGTGGGGGTGCCAGCAATGTGGGACAAGAGGGATGAGTAGACCTCACACGTGGTGAAAATGGCACTGGGCTAATTGCCGAGGGTGGGTTAGGGTTCCGCGCGTGGTTAGCCTCTGGTTGGCAACTTTCATCAGGAGTGCGGTTTGTGGCATGTGTCTGTATGGTTAGTGTGGTTAGTTTTGTGGGTAAATAAAGGGTGTCAATAAAGTCCCCATCTATTTTATTGAACCCATGGTGTGTGTGTGTATATGTTTCTTTGCAGGACCCTATGACTACGAATGTACAAGGACGTGTGATTGTAGTAATACTTTCAATGCAGACGTTGTTCGGGAGAACCTTAACGAACATTTTACAAGTTCTTGGTTCTTTCGGTGAAGTCACGTAGAAGAGAAATAATACAATAATAAAAATAGAACACAATTAAATTCTCACGACGTTTCGATTGCAACACAAGCAATCATCATCAGGTGTGAAAATCACAGCAAGAAATTTTTGAAAAAAGTGGCGTTTTTTTTTTTTAATGATCGAAACGTCGAAAGCTTCAAATCGGAACATTTTACAAATCGCAGGAACTGGACGCAGCGGCAACAGGCCCTGGACGGCTCCATCTGCGGATTTAATGTTCTTTCGACTTTCTCTTTGCCATGGGGCTTTATCAAGTCAGAGGGGGTATCAAACGCGAGTTACAGATCTCCACGATTTACGAGATCGTATACGGGGGGCGGCAGTTACGTAAATAACTCCACAGATGCTGCAAAATGTGTTGTGCAATGATCTGTGCCGTGATATTGACGGTGCTTGTGTAGAATCCAATGCTTAAGTATCATTCGTGAATGTCCCTCTGATTGTATTTTTTGCATAATTCACCCTGAATTGCTTTGATTTCAATAAAATAGACGGAGACTTCATGGACACCTTTTCTAGGGTCTGGTTGGCTTGTGTGGTCAAGGTCATGGGTAGGGATGGTGCCTAGTTGACACGTTTAGTTATGGTTCTAAGTAAGGCCGTTGTCTGATTTGCTAGTGCCGCTTGGGGTTAGGGGTCCGCTTGGCCCCGAGAAGCAGTGCCAGGCTTTGCTTTGCTACCTTGCTACAGAGTCAGGGGGGACCAGTGGAGGCCTGATCGGTTCGATTGCTCTTCCTCACAGTTTCTCCCCCCCCCCTCTCTCTCTCTCATCACCCAAGTGTGGCCCTCCTCACTTGGTGTCCCCTTGCGGGCCCGCCATTCACAGCTTTCTCTTACGGCCCCCACCTCCCCTCCGGTGGCTGACTCATGGAAGTCGGCAGCGGGACAGGTGGGAGCCAGCGTGGGGAGGGAAAGTAATTCGTGTATCGATGTGGAAAGTCGGCAAGTACGTGTGTGTGTATGTAGAACTTAATTTCCACTGCACGTTGCCAACCGTGCTAATCGGAGGTGCGGGGGAAGGACGACAAACTAAACACATGAAGGAGCTCTAAATAAATTAGTTTTTAATCTATGTTTAAAAGTGCATAAAAGCTCTCCTAATGTTGGAAGGGCAGTTGAACGTACGTGTTTCTATACGTCTCTGTACAACACATCCGTACTTGCGAGCGTGTGTTTTGTGTGCACAATTGTACGTGTGTGCATTCGTATTGTTGATATTTTTGCGTGTGTTTGTGCTCAAGGTTGTACGGTAATACCCCCGGTTTATGTCGAGGATGCGTCCCTGTAGCGGTGCGATGACGAATATCGAAACGACGTCAATCAAATCGATTGACAGGGGAGGTGGTGGAGGCAGAGGCTGAGGGGCGATAGATACGAGAAAGGGCAAGTGATGCTGTCAGCGACGCGAGTGTGGGGGGTCGAGGCGACACAAATCGGGCAGTAGCGGTGTTCATAATAAAGGGATGACGTATTTGCGAAACAAAGTAAAATGGGGAGACGCAAATCAGGCGTATTTCTGTGTACGCACATGGGTGTACGTATTTGTACACACATCTGCGTCCATGCGTGCTCTTCGATACGAGACTGCTCTTACCTGCGTGCCCTGTGTGTGTCCGTGTGTGTCCGTGTGTGCCCGTGTGCGCTTGTGTGCCCTTGTCCACCTAGGGTTGGCCCGGTGGCCGGCGACGATGGCGCTGACGCGGAGGCCGGACACATCGCCGTGTAAGCATGCTCCTCCGTCTCCCCGCGTCGTCCCCGCGTCCTCCCCGCGCTCCGCCGCCACCCGCCGCCCGCTCGCGCCCTCCCCGCAGCACGGGCGGCTGCCCTGCCCGGCGCCGTGCGGGGCCAACGCCGCCGCGGCCGGCGCGGAGAAGGACTGCGTCGCCGTTGCCGCCTCGCGGTCCCCGTCCAAGCCGCTGCGGCACGGCGCGGGAGCCGGCAAGGCCGCCGACGCCGGCTGCACGTGCGGCGTGGCGCCCGGCGCTCCTCAGCCAGGCTCGGCGCCGCACAGAGGCGCGGTGCCGGCTCACCGGCTCCCGCCCGCCGCCGCCGCCGCTAAACTCACGGGTGCCTCGCCCAGAACCGCCGCCAGCCCCAGCAAGAGCGCCGCCGGCGCCGCAAGAACCGTCGGCAGTCCCTGCAGGATCTCCGCCGCCGGCGCGGGCAGACCACCGCCAGCGGTGGCAGCAGCGGCAGCAGCAGCAGCAGTAAGCCCAAACAAAACTGCTGCTGCTGCTGCCACTTCCAACAAGTCTCTCTGCAGTCCCAGCAAACTCCCGGCAGGATCAGCAGAAGCTGGCCTCCGCTAGGGCGGTTGTCCCCGCAGGTGCCCCACTCTGCTGTGCCGGCGACGGCGGCCGGCGACGTTGTCGCCCACGGCCGGGCCCCATCGGCACCGGGGAGACGGCAACGCGGACGCCTCAAAGAACCGCGCGCCATCCGAAGCAACCAAAACCAGGAGCGGAATCCTGCCGCGAAGTGGATCAAGACCCGGGAGCAGGAGTGGAAGAGACAAGGTCGGGGCCGGGGCGGCGGGCGTCAAAACGGTGTGCGGACTCGGGGTGGATTCTGGCGCTGGATCGACGAACAAAACCGGGAACAATCTCGAGGCCAAACCCGGAGTTGTGGCGGTGGACCAAGCCTGGGCACGGGGCAGAGACAAAGCCCGGAGGTGGAGCGGTGACGAAGCTTGGAATTGGAATGATTACAAAGACGGCGAGCGGTGTGATGATGAAGCCTGCGGGTGGATTGTTAATAAAACTGGGAATTGGATCAATAACAAAACCTGGAGACGGAGCGTTGACAAAACCAGGAAGTGGATTGATTACGAAAGCGGCAAGTGGAGTGCTGACACGGCCTGCAGGTGGGGTGCTGACAAAGTCCCGAGGTGGAGCCATAGCAAAGCCTGGGGACGGAGCGCTCACAAAACCCGGAGGTGGAGCGCTGGTCAAAGCGGCAGGTGGAGCAGGAGCCAGAACCGCTGCCCCGGTGTCGCTGTCTCGCAAGCAGGAGAAGGAAGCTGCCAACGCACGATTGGCCGAGGCGGTCACGCGGGCCGAGGGAGCAGCAGCCAATAGGAGGACGGCAGTGAGTGTCCAATCGGCAGCAGGTAAAAGGGGCACACGTACAAGCACAAACACGCGCACGTGCGTACCCCCGTCGAGCCATAAAGACTGTTCGGTAAAGTGCTGTTAGTTAGTACCTATGAAGGCCACACAGTGCACGAGGGGGTGGGTAGCCAGCATTACACCCAGCTGCCCTTGTCTCCCCAGTGCTGGGTACTCATTTAAGGCTGAATCGACCTTGAGGGACAGCAAGGATGTACTAGTAATGACATTGATGTTGCTTGTGGCTGGGAATCTAATCCAGATCACTGGGATGGAAGTGTAGTCTGATAACAGCTGCACCACCGCTCCCCCAATGCACGCATCTCTGTTGGGATTTCATTGTCTACCCAGAGGCTACAGCTGAGTGCTTTAGTCCAATTCCTCTCTCCTCTTACTCTCTCACACTGGGCCACACTCGCACGTACCCACCCACCCCACACTGGGTCACATTCGCACGTACCCACCTCCTCGGCACTGGGTCACACTCACACGTACCCACCCACCCCACACTGGGTGACACTCACACGTACCCACCCACCCCAAACTGGGTCACACTCACACGTACCCACCCACCCCACACTGGGTGACACTCACACCTACCCACCTCCTCGGCAGTGGGACACACGTGTCCCACTGCCGCCGGCCTGGCCTCACCGGGCCTCCAAACCCACGCTGCCTTAAACTGGGTCTCCGTGCCCCAAGTGACGCTCGCGATTGTGTGTGCCTGTACACTGCTAGCATTGCGGTTCTTTCATAATTCGGGTTTTTGTTTTCGTGCGATCAATGGTGACCAGGCCGAGGCAGTCACCGAGTTCTCAGCTCAGTGCTCTTGACACCTGAGCGTACCCTTGGTGACGTGGCAGGCATCTGGTTGAGTCGAGGACATTGGCTTGACGATGAAACGTGGAATCGGCATGGCCAGCCAGGCAGAGCCCGGGGCTCGATTCACGATCAAAAGTTTGTGAGTTCAACTCCTGGCCACTTAGAAAGTGTACATCCTATGGATGAAGTAGCTCCCGCCATGGGAATGTGGAATGTGCATCAGCCGCTAAGGGGACACCAATTGGAGCGGCGAGACCAATTTGTCCGTTCTCGTGAGGACAGCAGAGGGCAATGCAACAAGACACGCCGTTGCGCCGTACTATTACACACCGCCACGGGGCGACGTACGGTCGCACGAACCCCTTCGCCGCCGTCCCGGGCGGTGGCGGTGCGTGGCAATGACCGTCATGGTTGTCCCCGTGTCGCACAGGGCGGACGTGGAGCGGCGGCGCTCCCCTCAGGACCGTGGTGGCCGCGCCCCGCCCGCCCGCGGGATTGCCGACGGGAGGAGGCCCCAGAGCGCCGAGGAGGAACTGTAAAGCGGAAGCCGTCGCTGCGGCCAGGGCCCAGGGCGCGGTGCACGCGGGGAAGCTCCTCCAGGCGAACGGCGACGCGGGGGGGGACGCGGCGGACACGGGGGACGGGGCAACGAGGGCGGCGGAGGAGGAGGAGGAAGAGGAGACGGCTCGGGACGCAAGCGCGGAAGGGAAGGCCGAGCGCGACTGGAGCGGGCAATCGAAGGCCGAGCGTGATGAGAGTGGCACGAAGGCCGAGTGTGATGAGAGCCACATGAAGGCCGAGCGTGATGAGAGCGAGGAATCGAAGGCTGAGCGTGATGAGAGCCACATGAAGGCCGAGCGTAGTGAGAGCGAGGAATCGAAGGCCGAGCGTGATGAGAGCCACATGAAGGCCGAGCATGATGAGAGCGAGGAATCGAAGGCTGAGCGTGATGAGAGCCACATGAAGGCCGAGCGTGATGAGAGCGAGGAATCGAAGGCCGAGCTTGATGAGAGCCACGTGAAGACCGAGCATGATGAGAGCGAGGAATCGAAGGCCGAGTGCAATGAGAGTCACATGAAGACCGAACACGATGAGAACGGCATGAAGGCCGAGGGCGACACGAAGGCCGAGCGCGACGAGAGCGAGGAATCGAAGACCGAGCGTGATGAGAGTGGCACGAAGGCCGAGCATGATGAGAGCCACGTGAAGACCAAGCGTGATGAGAGTGGCACGAAGGCTGATCATGACGAGAGCGGAGAAAGGAAGGCCGAGTGCAATGAGAGTCACATGAAGACCGAGCGTGACGAGGGCGACACGAAGGCCGAGGGCGACACGAAGGCCGAGCGCGATGAGAGCAGTGAAATGAAGGTCGAGAGCGACGTGCGCGAGCAAATAATCACGCTGTCTGAAGAGCTCGGGGCACCGCAGGCCGGGTTCGAGTTGAGGGAAGAAACTGAATCCACGTACAAGACCGGCGAGAAGACTGCGTGCGGCTCGCGTGAAGAAGAGACGGACGACGTTGATGCGAGTGGCGGGAGGACGGAGGCCGCCACGTGCGACCTCGGCGGCGGAGCGAAGACTCCGTGCGCAGGCCTCGGGCAAGCTGGGGCCACGCGCCGAGCGAGCGAGCAAACGACGGTCGGATTTGACGCAGGCCAGGAAATGAAGACCCCGGGTGCCGCCGACGACGATGCGAGCGATGGGGTCCCCCCGGCCACGGACGCCGCCGGCGCAGAAGCAATTTGTGACGTGAGCGTCTTCCCCGGAGCGATTCCTCAACTGAATGGGGTCGTAGAAGCGCTCCCCGACGCAAGAGGGGCGGAGGACGGGTCGCCGCTGCCACGGCCGAGCACAAAGGACGCCGGCTCCGCCGTTTCAAAACCCCCGGCCGCGGTGGCGTCCGAGCTGACCGACTTGGGGATGTCACCGGTGGCAGAGGACAACGCCGCCAAGGGAGACAACGTTTTGCGTGCGGAAGCTGGTGCCCGCGCCGGGCCCGGTGCGAGCCTCGGGGACGTCCGGGCGGCCGCCCCCCCGCGTGCCGATGTGGTGCGGGTCCAGGTTCACTCGCACTCGCACGTCGGTGACGCGCGCGAGGGGACCGGGTCCCACACGGAAATGAAACCCGCCGCGAGAGCCGGCGTTGACGAGAACGGAGCGCTCTCCAGACACGTCCACGGCACGAGATTTTTCGCGGGCGCCGGGCCCGGCGTGCTCCTCGCTGAGCTCGGCCTGCGCGAGATCAACCTGTCGGAGGCGGCCGACGAGGCCTCCTCGCCCAGCCTGCCAGACGGTGGGGGGGGGGCGCTCTCGGACGACGGGTCTCTCCAGGAGACGGTTAGCGTGGGGCTGATGTCGGAGGCGCACCAGCCGGGAGACGAGCCGTGGGGCTGCGGGGGCACGCTGGGTGACCTGTCGACCCCCAGCTCCATGGGCCTGTGGGAGAAGCTCGACTCGAAAACCAGCAGCCCCACCAGCACCCCCGAGGAGCTGAAGGACACGGGCAGCCTGGCCGGAGGCGCCCCCCCCGCGTCCGGCTCGACGCTGGGAACGAGTCCAGAATTTGGTCTCAAACTCAAAATGCTGTTGGAGTCCAGACGTGCGCCCATGTACGAGCCCCGGGACAAAACCGAACGGACGCTGGCAGAGAGGCTCAAGCGAGACACCGGGAATAATAACAACGTCGTTGAAGGTGACGACGACGACGACGACGATCAAGAAGAGGAAGATGACGAAGAGGGCGATGATTTTGATGGCGATTACTACGTCAATAATGTCGAGAAGCATCGCACGCGGCTCCTCTGCGGCATCGAGAACCCCGCGTTCCGGGACTACGCGGCGGAGCCCGAGTCGAGGGCGGTGCGCGTGGCCGAGCCGCGTGCACGGGGAGGCGACCCGCAGCCCGACCGCAGCGGCGGCGGCGACCGAGCCCCGGAGCGGCCGCGAGAGCCGCCCGTGGCGGCCGAGCGGCGGCCCCCGGAGCGGAAGTCGCAGGCCGAGCCGGCGGCCACGGAGCTTGGGCACGGGTGGACGCCGGATGACTTCGAGGACGACGACTGCGACGACGACGGCGGCGACAGCGGCAGCGGCGACGGCAGCGACGCGGACGGCGACGACTTTGAGGTGTCCGCGCTGACGGCGAGACGCACCGGGGCGGCGCCGTCGTCCGACACCCCTTCCCACTCGCACTTCCCGTCCGGCAAGCCGCTCTCCCCCATCCTGGAGCTGGACGCCGACGACCCCGTCGCCGCCATCCCTGCCGCCGCCTTCGAGGTCGCGCGGGACCCCGGCGGACGCGACCTCGCCGACCCTGGGCCGGCCCCGCCGCCCGCTCCGCCGCGCTCCCTGGCGGGGCTGCGCGAGGGCGCGGCCGCCCCGTCGTGGCCCGCTCCGGGTGAGGGGTGGGCGGCGGGGGGGGAGGGGGGCGCGTCTCCGCGCGGGGAGCAGGAGGAGCAGCAGCAGCAGCAGGAGGAGGCGCTGACGCGGATGAGCGAGGTGCTGCCGCGGGGCCGCGTGCGCCCCGTGCAGGGCGACGCGCTCTCGCGCTGGAGCGAGGTGCTGCTCTCCCCGCTGCGCCGCGAGGCCGACGCGTGCGTCACCGCCGTGGCGGCCTTCTCGCCCGACGGCCACCGCGGGGGGCAGCCCACCCCGGGGGGCCCCGCGGGCGAGTGGACCATCGTGGAGCTCGAAAGCCACCACTGACGGTGGGGGGAGCGGACGGGCACGGGGGGGAGGGGGGGGGCGGCCGTCACCGACGAGCGACGAGTCCGGCGGTGGCCCCGGCCGGGACGGCGGCTTCGCCCCCGCGGCGTCTCTGCGGGCGATGGCCGAACGACCCAGGCAGTGTCCTCCTCCTCCTCAAAACTCGTTCTGAGACTTTGGTCGAGATTTCCAGGGTGACTATAAGCAAACGGGAGGGGCGCGCTCGTCTCCCCAAAGGCAAACTCGTGCCGGCGAAGCAAATTCCACGGTCCCATGGCCAGGGCCGGTCTCCCCGTAGGACGACCGCCATTGAGGGAGGAGCCAGGAGGGATGATCGGCCGAGTCGACCCTAGTCACCACGGACGGATTTTTACTTGCGGAGTTGCGAGCGTGACCGGGATTGCGGGCACAAGCGGAGTAGCAACAGCGAGGTTAGCGGAGGGCCCTGAGGGAGCGGATCGTCGCACTTTGGCCTCGACCGACGCGGCCCGGCCTGAACCCTCGCCCGCCGCGCCGCCGTGAGCGTGGCTGGGAATTCGTGCACAACTACTGAAGCCGGAGCGGCAAAGAAGTCGCTCGGTTCGATTTGACCTCGTCCGATCCACCGTTGGGGATTATATGATGCGGTTAGACTGTAAAATCAGGTGGGGTGGCCTCGGTGGGGTGGTTACCAGACACCCCTCGTACGCGTACACACACCTCGCCACCGCCTGGCTGCCGCTGCTTAACAACGGAAGTGTATGTAGCTGGCTAATGTTTTGGCCCTTGATGACCCTTAAGCCACGCGATGTGTACGTGCCGAGTGCTCCTGTCAGAAAGCAGCCTCCACGGCCAGCGGTGGCGGGCGGCGGTGTCATCTGGCCTGTACTCGGTTGCTGGGTCGTAACCACTGCCAGGGCAGTTGCCCCCATGGGTTTTGTTATTCACGTCAGGGATGCTGACGCCAAGGGCGGTAGCCGACAGCGCAGTGGTAATACTTGGAGCGTGGAGCGTGAAGCCGCTGGGTTTGATTGCCGGCTCGGGCACCTTTCTGCGTGTGGGGTTTGTATGTTCACCCCCTGTGCTACTTGGGTTTCTCCTGGGTTTCCTACCACAGCTAAAGTAAAAGAAACACACGTGCAATGTCAATCTCGCGTAGCAATTATTGTGCCCCTGCTGGCAGGCTCGTGCACGGCGACAGCTGCCGCTCGGAGTGCCCCGAGGCCAAAGCACCAGAGGTCGCAAACGGGTTTTGATTCCTTACCCGTACCTGGCCGCACCAGGGTCGCAAACGGGTACCCGTACCCCTACCCTACCCGATACCCGGCTACCCGTACCCTGCCGGGTATCGGGTAGGGTACGGGTACGGGTACCCGATTGCGACCTCTGGGATGAAGCCATGTTGCAGGCGCGGGTGGGTTGATTCTAGGAACTTGAATTGTGAGAAGAGACACAAGACGTTGGGAAATGAGTGACAAACGGTTACTCACCAGTGACTCACGGCCTACCGTACCCGGCCGCACCAGGGTCGCAAACGGCTACCCGTACCCGGCCGGGTACGGGTAGCCGGGTATCGGGTAGGGTACGGGTATCGGGTACCCGATTGCGACCTCTGCAAAGCACCCATCCAGGTGAAGAGTCGCTTTGTGCCGCACAGGGACAGCCGCCGCTAGGGACACCTGCGCTCCTGAGACGTGTCGTTGCGAGCTAGAGAGAGCGCAGTACAAATACAAATTCCTTAATTGATGATAGGGGTTTCCACTTATTTCTGCCAACAAAACAGGTGTTAAGGTGTTAGAACACCATTAATTTATTCGATAAGCTTGCTTCAACACTGAGCCCAGCTCGGCTGAGACCCTAGGCTCGATCCCAGCCTCTCAACTGGGACTAAATCGGGTCCTCCAGTAGAGTCAGATCGATGGTCTCAGCCCAGCCGTTGATGATAACACAGGAAAAATAACATATAACACCGACGTCGTAAATAATTAATTTGACGATCGATTCGTCCTTTTGCAGCTGTGAAAGGAACACGAGGCAAACGATGCACTCGTCTGAAGAGCGTGCAGTCTCGTTGAGGTTGAGTTTGCAGGAAAATAGACCCTCGAAGGATGCCAGCCGGTGCCTGCAACATCACAAAATCGAGACAGTCACTCGGGAGTGGCTTCAGCCACAGGCTTTTGCGACGATGCCGATTCGTCGATGGAAACTGATCCCTGAGCGATGCGCGAATGGTGCGCGTGCAATGACCGCGAGCGGGCCGCGAATTGAACACCCTAGCATTGCAGCGAGGCTCGCGGAACATTCCGCGTCGAGTGGCCGGGGGCCGCAACGAGCGCCCCGCTGTGTGGTGCGGGTGCGCCGATGGCAACGGCAGGGCAATGCAAAACCATCGCGGGTAACCGGGAGGCTCCAAGCAATTCTGCAGCGCGTCACAAATACCACAGCTACCTCGTGTGGGCACGGCGATCGATTCACATGTCAAGGGTTTCCCGTTGACATGGCCAAGTGAGCATACGCCGGGATTGATCTCACCTTGCTGGTGTGCTGCCCTTAGCGGGACTCACACAGGGGCAGGGCTCGGTGTGTGTGCTGCCCTGAGTGAGACTCACACGGAGGCAGGGCTCGGTGTGTGTGCTGCCCTGAGTGAGACTCACACGGGGGCAGGGCTCGGTGTGTGTGCTGCCCTGAGTGAGACTCACACGGGGGCAGGGCTCGGTGTGTGTGCTGCCCTGAGTGAGACTCACACGGGGGCAGGGCTCGGTGTGTGTGCTGCCCTGAGTGAGACTCACACGGGGGCAGGGCTCGGTGTGTGTGCTGCCCTGAGCGAGACTCACACGGGGGCAGGGCTCGGTGTGTGTGCTGCCCTGAGCGAGACTCACACGGGGGCAGGGCTCGGTGTGTGTGCTGCCCTGAGTGAGACTCACACGGGGGCAGGGCTCGGTGTGTGTGCTGCCCTGAGTGAGACTCACACGGGGGCAGGGCTCGGTGTGTGTGCTGCCCTGAGTGAGACTCACACGGGGGCAGGGCTCGGTGTGTGTGCTGCCCTGAGTGAGACTCACACGGGGGCAGGGCTCGGTGTGTGTGCTACCCTGAGTGAGACTCACACGGGACAGGGCTCGGTGTGTGTGCTGCCCTGAGTGAGACTCACACGGGGCAGGGCTCGGTGTGTGTGCTGCCCTGAGTGAGACTCACACGGAGGCAGGGCTCGGTGTGTGTGCTGCCCTGAGTGAGACTCACACGGAGGCAGGGCTCGGTGTGTGTGCTGCCCTGAGTGAGACTCACACGGAGGCAGGGCTCGGTGTGTGTGCTGCCCTGAGTGAGACTCACACGGAGGCAGGGCTCGGTGTGTGTGCTGCCCTGAGTGCGTGAAGCCAAACTGGGCAACTATCGCAAGGCAACGGCGCCCTCCTCCAGGAGGGCCTTGAGACTCTCCGTTCGGCGCTCCTGGATGAATCGAGAGCGGCGTTACTGTCATCATGAAAACTAAAAAGCAACCTGCGTTGGCAGGGATTTATAAGCACAGCCTGGAAACACTCCGGCACCATCGTCATCGACACTGCCGCCTGGGTGACAACCACTGCGGTGTTGTCCTCCTGAGATGTTGGCCCTTGCCGTGGGATTTCGTGGAATTTCCGACACGGGTCCTAGAACTTGCGATAACACTGGTCAACACACTTTTTCTGGCATAAGGTATTCCAACGGTTATAAGGTCATTTTGGGGTGCTGATTCCAAATCTGGCATCAGTTTTTGTCTATCACATCAGGTTTTTTAGATCTCAAATATTGCATTTTCAATAAAAACTGCTGAAGAAAAATATTAAATAAATGTGGATATCTACATGAAATGATATAATAAACACACTATCCTATAAATACAGCACCATATTTTAACACTAAAGCAGTCACTGACTCGCAACAACTTGCAATCATAAGTGACAGAGTTAATTTCGGGTAAAATCAATGAAAATGGGGTATGCCGATAGCATAAAAATGAGATGTGATAGAGCAAATCTGAGATCAGATTTGGAATCGGCACACTGAAATTAGTCTAGAACAGCTGCAAAAGTCCAGGCCAGAATTTTGGTTGTTGTTGACCAGTGTAATCAATGGGCGCCATTCAATGTTCTTTTAAATCGAGTAAAGACGCGCTCGTGAGTGGGGATGTTTTGTAATTAGCCAAGAAGGGACGCCGTCTTGTCAGTTGTTCGTGCCACTACGCGGCCGTTAGATGTTTGTCTGACCTTAGACTAAACACGCTCAACAGCTGGGACCTGCGGAGAGACGGGGAGGAAAGAGCCCCCTCTCTTGAACTCCCCGCGGACGGCAGGTCCCGGCATCACAGCGCAATGCTGTCGTCTCGGCAAGAAGGGACCATGGGTTCGATTCCTGACTCGGCAGCCTTCCTGTGTGGGATGTTTGTGTGTTCTCTCCCCTTGTTCGGCATGGGTTTCCTCCCACAGCTAATTTAAACATAGAATGTGGCACCTCCGATTAGCACGGTTGGCTACGTACGCTGGGACAGAAGTTCAACATAGATGCATAATATTTATTACCTGTGAATTACTAATGTGGGATTACACAGCAGCAGCAGCAGCAGCAGCGGCAGCAGCGGCAGCAACATCGCCCCCGCCCTACTACAAAAGTCTTGGCAGAACGCTCCTGAAAATGAGTCTTAATTTTGTATTATTACGCACGGGTAAATTGGCGCGTAATAATACAACATTCACATTTTCATTGCTGCAGAGCGGCATGAGGGTGTGAAAATCCAGATTCGGCAGCTTCTCTCCATTATTGGGCTCCCAGTGGAGTGGATATGCAAGGTGGTCCATTTCGAGATACCCCGCTCAAATAATTCGGGACATTACAGCGCAGAGGAAATGCGTGTCATTGTTGTCAAGCCTCTCTCTCTCAATAAACGTAAGACGCCCATTATCACGCTCCAGAAACACTTTTGCCTCGTGTCGTTTTCCGCAATTTTTCAATCGCCTCTTCAGAATAATTGAGGGTCATTTGCCATTTTTTTCTCTCTCCAAATTTGCAAAAACAAAAAACCCCTCAACGCTTCGAGAGCCGCGATGCACGGAGAGTCCTGAATGACTAACGACGGCACGAACGCGCGGGGTATCTATAAATGGATCGCCCTGCGTTTTATTTCACGGCTTGTTCAGGCTCTCCTGATTTCGGCAAAAGCGCCCAAAATGTTCCTCGTTGGTGGTTCATTATTTTTATTGATTTTTTTAAAAATGTGTCCTTTCAAAAGTGGCGAGCGGGCCGAGACGATCGCCGCGGGTCGCTTGAGAACGCGGTTTCATCTCGCTGAGCCGAGATCGCGGATTTAAAGTCGTGGTCTCGGCAGGGCTGGCTCAGACCTTCTTACAGAGGCATCCACAGCCATTGCCCCAGTGTACGTCGGGGGGGGGGGGGGGCACGTTCATGTAAAGGTGCGACGGCAAATATCAATCGAAGCGATTGACGGGGCCGGTGGTGGTGGTGGTTGTGGTGGTGGTGGTTGTGGTGGTGGTGGTTGTGGTGGTGGTGGTTGTGATGGTGGTGGAGGCTGAGAGAGGGGATGGATCACGAGAAACGACGGTGACGTGGAGTGGGGGCGGGGGGGGTTGAGGCGACGTGAATTGAGTAGTTGAACACATGGTAGGCTTTCGCGACCAATATCATCCATAAGACGTTTTTGTTTGGGTTAGATCGCGTATAAATATATACACGTGTCGTTAAACCCGCCACCACCCGACACAGCCAATTAGTGAAGGTTTGTCACGTGAACAGAACGTGGCCAATCCGTGTTGGAGAGTAAATACACAACGTTGACAATCTGAGCACGACGTCTCGCCCGCTAGTAGCGGTGTCAATAACAAAGTGGCGACGTATTTGCGAAACGACGTAAAATGGGGGAGGGAGGGGGGGAGGGGAAGACGTAAATGGGGGAATTGCTGTACCGCCACCACCACCACCACCAAAGCCTTCGGGTGGGTGTCGGGGTGAAGCCGGCCTCTCTTGCCAAGTCAGATGCCAGCTCCACTCCTGCGTGGCCCCACGGCCTTCGTTGAAGGGGTGACCCCCACCCCCTCCAGGGGTGACCCCCACCCCCCCCCCCCAGGGGTGACCCCCACCCCCCCCAGGGGTGACCCCCCCCCCCCGGCCCCTCCTGCTGTCCGTTCGCGTTCACGACGAATCCGCGCGCGCGTCACTCGCGCGCCAGCCGAGCCGAGCAGCCGCGCGGATTCATCTGCGGAGCGAGCGACCTTTAAATGAAGACATCACGTTCTGCTTATTTATATAGACTTTTTAATAAATGTGTTCTCCTACAACATCAGAGTACAGCGCCACATTAAATACGCACTACAATGACAATAGTTTAAAGCGATTTGAAGCATGTTTTATTTTTATTTGGGGGGGCAGAGCTTTGTGACGTCATTTGAGGGGGGTCTGACTTTTTGTGGCACCGTGTGACGAAGGGGGGGGGGGGGTCAAAAATCGTCCAAAATCGCAATGTGGAACACGTGGAGGGATGGGTGGGTGGCCAGCACCACGTCCGACCGCCTTTGTCTCCCCAGTGGCAGATGTTTACTACACACCGCACCAGGTGCTCATTTGAGGCCGAGTCGTCCTAGGGGAGGACCAGGTACCGCTTCAGATATTCGTCACTGATGGTGTTGGTGGCCGCGAGCGGGAATCGAACCCGGGTCGCCAGGTTCGTAGCGCAGCGTAGCGCTAACCGCTCCCCCACTGCTCCCCACACAACAACAACCACCGCCATTCGCCACTGTGGCGGCGACGTCACCACGGCGCTTGTGCCAGGCTAGGTGCACGTTGAGGCCACGTGAAGTGTCGAACGCCCGCCGGCAGGAGGTAACGGGGCAGGCCCTGCACAGGTGCCCCCACGGGGCGACTTACTGAGACGAGTGGCCGAGCACCACCTGTGCCCCCCTACTGTGCCAACTGTTGCATACTCACACGCCCACCCAACCCCCCGAATATAAGTTTAAACTTGAGGTTAAAGGTCACGGTTTTAAGAGCCCGGCGTCTTCGCGCGTCCCATCGAGGAGGCGGCCAAACCACGACGCGGCATCCGCACGGGCATTGTAAGTCAAAGCAGACGATAAGGCGTCAGCCTGACGCCACCGACGTCGTTCTGAGCGCGGCTGATAAATAAATGGTCACCGCTCGTAGTTGGAATCTCGTCGCCCCGAGTGTCGCACTCCTATTTGTGTTGTCGTTCAAGGTGGAGACGGCACCACGCTTGCGTCGTTCCGGCAGGGATGTGCAATGGCCGCAGAGCCCCCGGATGGATTCAACAACGCGGAATCTTGAGTTGGCTGGCCTGGACCTTGTCCGAATGGCCCCCCACCACACCCCACCAGCGCGAACACGACGGGAATCTCGTTTGGAATCGCCCTCCGCGGTTATATTTGTGGCGTGGCTGCAGCATCGAGGACGCTGCTGTTGTAACAGCTGTCGGATTGCGCCGCGTCTAAAAATGTTTTTGTCTCGACACGTTTGACAAGATCGACAAGCCACCCACCCACCCCGTGCGGGCCGAGCGAATTACCCGGGTGAGGTGCCCCT